CCCCGGAGTTCCGAAGGCCTAGCCCACACGTGCAACGACCAGCGCCATGTGGCAACTCCCAACAGACGAACTCATCGGAACCCCACCTACCCCGAAGGGACCAACCCCCGAACCGCCGTCCCCGAAACCAATGGCTCACTCGGTCCTGAGTGAACTGCGCTGGTAACCCGAAAACGCCCTCTTTGCCAAATTGCACCCGTGCCCCCGAAAGACCCTGTCACGGGAGACCCAATTCTGACCTGGGACTCCACTTTCCCCAAAAATCCTCGGCACACCCCTTTTCGCACTTCCAAGCCCACATCCCACTTCGATCAGGAAGTTGCACTGGGCGTGAGGTTGGGCGTCACAGTGCTCCTGGAGCCATTCCTCCTGGATTTTCATCACTTCCAGGTTAATAACTACTTTAACGTAGTCATCCCCCGTAATTATCGAATTGGGGGCCAATTCTCTTGGAAAAATTAACACTTCGCGATCAACCCCCTAATTCTGTTCTTTTCCTCAATGCTCTTGTTCCTTCATTAAAAGACACAGAGACAAGCCCCCCCCCCAAAAAAAAAAAAAAACTCACTAGGAAAGGGAAAAGAGCTCTATAGACAGAAGCATCCATAAAAAGGTCGAAAACTCAAGTCCCTCCTCCCCTTCTCCTTCACCAGGAACAGTGTCAAAAGGCCATTACCTTTCCACTGCTTGTGCAGCCGAGGCTTGCCAGGACCTGGCTCTTGAAACGGCTGGCGGAGTTGCACTGTTCATTCACAGTTGACTTCCGTACCCGAAGCTGCTGCCGCTCACCCAGCCGGCTCGGCCTCTACCTTGGCCGCCCGTATCTCACGGTCGGTAATAACCATAACTACTATGATGAAGGTAGGCCCTCCTGTGCGGTGTCTGCCGACCCTGCTCCCAACCCCGATCTTTTCGGCACGAGTCGTATTCAACGAATTTCTTTTACCTGGGCGGTGTGTACTTGTGGTTTAATCGGAGGGCGCCCCTACCATCCCCGCTACCATCCCTGGAGGATGCTAACCCACCCGGCAATCGGCCGCGGAAAAAAAACAGAGTAGAAACGTTTCTAGTTGGATGAATTTGGGCGCTCCTGTAGTGCCCCGTACATTTCCTAAAATCGTTGCCCGTTACCCACCAGTACTTCGCTTATACATCGGCCGCCGCAAAAATGAGACCCATACCGTTTCCCCCACCAGATCTGCCAGGCGCGTCCCCCCGAGCGCATCACTGCAGTGATTTACGGGTGCAACTTTGGGAACAACCCCAATGCGAATGCAAAGGCCCCCTAACTACAAATAACAGGGAAACAACCCCAATGGGAATGCTAGGGGCTCGTTAACTACAAATAACAGGGAAATGCAAAATAGGTGACACAGATGCTGCCAATGCCAGATGCATTATAGCTTCAACGCTTTGAAGATCATGCTGGAAAGTCAAAGAATAAATACTAGGGCATGATATCCACACCGTGGACTTTCTTGCATCTACCTCAGAGTATCAAGGCCGAGATTGAGTCCAAAATGCCGGCGATCGAATGTCCTTAGGTGTGGTTTCCAATTGTTTTTTTTTTCTCCTTTTTTTTTGTAGTTTCCAATTGTTGGTTGGTAGAGCGGAGCACCCTTGGCTATGCAGATTTTCGGCCGATTAGGTGAGGCATAACACCGCCTAGTAAGAGCCTCTCTCCACTATACAACACTCTACAGTACATGCATTTGGACGCTTTTCTTGACCAGGTGCAGTTGGACAAGTCCAAGATTTGCATGCATCGGGTCGAGAAAGCGTCCAAATGATGGTATGTTGTGTGGTAGAGCGGAGCGAGCCCCTAAGCAAATAACCTCTTTACCACGCTGTCTTCACTTTCCACCACGCGTGGATGCAGACACAGCCACTCGTGGGGCTTTCGAACACCTCGATGTGGCAGTTGGTTCCCGTGCACAATGTGTTGCGTCCCTGCAGACGCCAGCCAACGAATTGTCTGTATCTTCCCCCCTCCCCGCAGCCACTTGCAGACCCCAGCCATCGAATTGTCTATATCTTTCCCCCTCCCCGCACCCACTCAGCTCCCCCACCACGAGTGGCTCCAGACACTCGCAGCCACCCACTTGTGCTGCATTCAAACACCTCAACGAGGAAGAGATCCGCGTGTACAATGTTGTTTTTTTTCCCTCATTTTCGTGTCCAATGTTAACGTCCCTGCAGACGACATGGGAAATCTGCTCAAACCATGATACGGGGCATGGCAGATACCACCAGTGCGCAGACTGGAAACAGCGCAGCAATAATAGAACGGAAAAGAAAAAAGAGAATTACGAGAAGCCTAGGGACAAAAAGGAAAAAAGGCAGAAAAAAGCCGACGCGTGCTTTCCTACACGAGATCAATGAATACACAGGGCCTCGCTCCACTACTCTCGACACGTGCAACCGAGAGTGAATCTTGCAGTGGGACATGGAAAGACATTACCGCCGTGAGGTGATTTTTGTCTTTTGTGCATGTCAAGAGTTGTAGAGCGAGGACCCATAGGTAGTACATATCCACATTGCTTGCATGCTCGTATCACTCCCTCCAGTAGAAACAAGCAATGCTCGTATCACCCCCTCCAGTAGAAAAACGGTAAAAAAAAAAAAAAAAGGTAAACACGAGATACACATTGTGCAGTCAGAGGGTGGAAAGGTTCAACATTGTCACATTGAAATAAAAAAGGGTGAAAAAAGTCACGTAATGGTTGGCTGCCCCTCGTATCTTAACTACACGTATCTGGACCCAATCATGCCCAGATCAGTTGAAAAACGTCAACGTCAGTATGCCCAACGTGCACAATGTTTGCAAGCTGATGAAGAGCCAAGGGACGAAGAGACACAGGGTCTCGCTGCACAACTCTCCAGATGTGCAAAATGCGACTGAAACCATCGCTAGAACATGGAATGATACATTGCCACCTTTTTTGGCTTTCGTGCATGTGGAGAGTAGTGCAGCGAGGCCCAACAGTTGCAAGCTGATGAAGAGTCAAGGTACAAAGAGGAACAATATTTGCAAGCTAATCAAAAGCCAAGAGACAACGAGAGACAATGTGTCAATGGCTGCAAGCTGACGAAGAGCCAAGGAACAAGGAGACAGACAAGCTTCACTGAGTACTCACATGTATAATATCTCGCTACATAAAGCTCGATAACACATTTCCTGGCAGAAAACACAGTCGTAATTCAGAAACTTCACCCGAAACTTCACCCGAAACTTCATCCCCTCTAACGACTGATTTTTTCCAAAACTCGTTCAAGACACAGAAAACTTGGTCGATCAAAAGAGAGTGCAATCACAACAGCGACACTGCAACCACAAGTCGGGTCAAATATTTCGTTTTCTTAAACACGCGTTGTAGGCATGGGTGGTAATCAACCAACCGTGTAGGTTTAGCACAAACCCCTCTTGCACCGTCCGTAGTCGTACGACAGAGACCCCTCTTGCACCGTCTGTACGAATACAGTAAATTACGACCAGGTTCATCGGATTTCTACAGGACCCTTCTTTCACCTTATGTACCAACACAGTAAATTACGACCACGTACATACGGTTCCTCTAGGAAACATGACCCTCTTGTCGATCCCGAATAATCAGCCGCCACATGCAGCAACACTACAGCACGAGGGCAGGCACACACAAATACTCCAGCTCCACTTGCGTGACCTAACTCTCTGCTACCTACCTACATTCAATCCCATGTCCCCCCTACAAAGCCACATATCCATTTACTTCCCTGGCTGAGAAACACTTCTGGACGGCAAAAAATAAAAAATAAAAAAAATCCACCTATCGTTCCGCTTCTTAAAAATGGGCTCATTACAAAAACGAAAAAAAGAGCTCATCACCCGACCTCTGAATGAAAGGAAAAAATAATAAAAAAGAAAAGAAGAGCTCATCATCTGTAACTCAGAAGACCAAAATCCCTCCTCTCCCGCAGTTTCATTTTATTTTATTTTACTCTATTTCCCCCCCCTCTCCTGCAATTTAGTACTTGTAATCCTTGACATGAAGACTCTCAGAAGCACCCTCGACAGCAGGGGCGCCACCGTACTTCCCGAGTGTGGCCTCTCCATTGGCCTTGGCACGGACATAGAAAGTCTGTTGAGCGGCGGGCACGTTCTCGACCTTGCCTCTCCATGCCTTGAGGGTACTGGCCTGCAGAGCTCTCCCGTAAGAGAACGACAGAGTCCAGGGCTTCTTGGCATCCAACGCGTTCATGGCATTAAGGTTGAGAGTCGCCTCCTCCTCGCTCTGCCCGCCTGAGAGGAACATGATGCCCGGCACGGCGGCGGGAACGGTCCTCTGAAGCGTTCGGACGGTGTACTTACCGACCACCTCCGGGGCGACCTTCGTGGCATCCGACCCAGGGGTCACCATATTGGGCTTGAGAAGGGTACCCTCGAGGAGCACATGGTGGTCGCTCAGAGATTTGTACACAGCCGCCAGGACCTTCTCGGTGACGGCTGCGCTCCGCTCGATATCATGCGACCCGTCGATCAAGATCTCGGGTTCGACGATGGGCACAAGTCCGTTCTCCTGACAAATGGACGCGTATCTGGCCAAGCCTTCGGCGTTGGACTGGATGGCCAGAGGGGACGGACACCCATCAGCGATCTTCAGCACTGCGCGCCACTTGGCGAATCGAGCACCAGCCTGATAGTACTTAGCACACCTGGCGCCCAGGCCATCATGCCCCTGAGTGGTGGTCTCGCCGCAGGTTCCCGCCAGAGCAGCAACGCCAGTGTCCACCTTGATACCCGGGACAACGCCGGCTTCCTTCAGCACGTCGACGAAAGACCTCCCGTCGGAGGCCTTTTGGAACAACGTCTCTTCGAACAAAATCACACCGCTGATGTACTCCATGGCACCGGGGGCGGTGAAAAGCAGCTCCCTCAGAGCCCGCCTGTTAGACTCCACATTCTCCACATTAATACTGGTCAGTCTCTTGCCAATGGTGCCCGTACTCTCATCCGCTGCGAGAATACCTCGCCCAGGTGTTGCGATCTTCTTCGCGGTGGCGATGAGCTCATCTGGCAATATCAGTTACGCCCGCATATCAACAGACCAGGATATATGCGCAACATGGGAAAGGTTTGGTCAGTGTTTGAAGACGAAAAAACAAGCGAAAAAAGAAAGACGAGGAAAAACACAAAAAACAAGGACGAGGTGTAACGATCTTTATGTTTTTCCGGGATGAACTCAAAATACGCATTTCTTCGGGGCGGGGGGTGGGGCGGAACCCCAGCCGAAGCCAACCTGATATTTATAAATCCGAGCACCGCAGCGGAACCGAGGAAATCTTAACCACACACACAACGGACCTCAAGACTCGTGGTGTAGGACTTCAATAAGAGTAGATCGTATCAAAAAAAAAGAAAAAAAAAGAAATCTTAACCAAACACACAACGGACCTCAAGACTCGTGGTGCAAGACTTCAGTAAAAGTAAATAGTATCAAAAAAAAAGAAAAAAAACTGATAGTCAAGGAGAACTTTCCTTATCCAAGGAGCGGAAGAGAAGAAGACTGCCTTATCGACTTTGACACAGACATGCATCCACCGAACCACGAAAAAGTATCTTTTTTTCTTTTGGACAGAGTATATCAACCAGCACGACATGACAAAACATGTCGCCGAAAAGAGTGAAAATCATTTACGAGGGACATTTGGAACAGAAAATACTTAATCCGAAAGACTATATCAACGAGCACGAAATGACGAAAGATTTCGCCGAAAAGAGTAAAACACACAACCAAAGCAGGAGAAATATTTGGAACGGAAAATATTACTGCGTGGGACGACGAGAGACGTTAAACCATCGAGAGGCAATTGGCCCGACGAGAACCATTGGCCCGACGAGAAACATGAAACATCTAAACAAACAACGTCAACTTCATGGAGTAGCTTGCCAGCTTGCTCAATCTCTCACATCTCAAACAAAATCAGCAAAAAAAAAAAAAAAGCTGATCGATAAGCCGAGCACAAGCATGAACCACAAACTTCATAGAAAAAAAAAATAAAAATTCTTCACCTACCATCTTTAGCCGAATAGAACGCCCCCCGTCAGTGTAGCCGTGTTTGGTGGAAATGTTCGTATAGGAACACCGATAATGTACCGGGCCTTGTATTCGGGTGAAGAAGGTAGCGTCTGATCATACGCCCTCTGGGCGAAATTCCTTCGGAAATATCGGACTTACTAGTATATCAGGTGAGGGGAAATATCGTATTTTTTACACCAATAGAAGGCGCCCTCCGTCATTCAAACGTATTTGGGGCAACTTTCAGTTCAGGTACAGCTATAGCGTACGGGCGTTCTATTCGGGTAAAGACGGTAACATCGAATATTACGCGCTCTGCTCGAATTCCTTAGGGATTCTGGAGCACAGACCTAAGAATCGCAGTCGAGAAGACGGCCGTCATCTTTCGATACGTCCGTATAGTCCAAATTTTTGTAAACATAACAAAAAAAAGAACGAAAAAAAAAAAAAAAAAAAAAACTCTGAGAAGACCGCCGTTTTAATCGGGAGAAATCGCCAGATGATGCAAGACGATCCGTTATCACATAATTACTCGTACTACCCTACAAATCCTCAACTTCAAATTTCCGCAATCCCGAAAATTGCCGTACATAAATAAAGAGATTGTCATAGATCTACACATTATGTCGATTCAGTGATAGAGTCTACAATTCGATGTATGATCATCTGTTTATTTGCGTAACACGCAGTTAAAATCGGATATACCCACGGTGTAAATAAATAAAAATGCCCTACCCATCGAGTTAAACCGTCCCCAACTCCGCGAATGGAAATGTGTGACATACAACGAGATATGAAAAACTGACCGAGGACAACTTGCTCTCGCATGAGTGTCTAGGGCTAAGCCCGTTGGGGGAGGGGAAAGAGAAAGTGCAAAACACTGATGACCAAATTGAAAATATCAACAAAGATTGTCTTTTGTGCATGTCGAGAATAGTGGGGCGGGGCCCAAAGACACCGAAATTTCAGTAGTCATTACCCAGAAACAAACGCTTCACAGCGAGTCAATCAGATACGACAAAAAACGCTGTCGATGCTGTCGCTCGAAGGAACAGCATCTTATCATCCCTTGCCCTCTTCAACCGAATAGAACGCCCCCCGGTCATTAAAGCCGTAGCACGGAAATTTTGATGAAAGATCAATCGATGCCAAAGCGATCTATTGTAACATAGTCAGGGCGGGAAAGAAGCAAAGCCCATAGAGCGGCTGATTATAGAAAGATTAAAAGTTACAATGATATGGATAGATACACCGACAATGACTGAGGGTATACACTCCGACTTTTTCAACTTCTTCCTCGATGGAAGTTCGATACGGTACATGAGGCCGGATCGGAAACGTGGTCTAATACATCCAGGAAAGTCCTAGTGATGCGAGTATGCCCTGAGTATTCTGTTCGGGTGAGCACGGTCGTACCATATACATCGATCTCAAACGAGAATAGCTCTCTCTCTCTCTCTCTCTCTCTCTCTCTCTCTCTCTCTCTCTCTCTCTCTCTCTCTCTCTCTCTCTCTCTC